TATAGTAGCCAACATAAATGTAATCGGTAGGACGAATTTACAAGAACACAACTGTGAAGAATGAAGCAAAAGCCACGCTGCTGGAACACCGCGCCCCTATTTGCATTTCAGTGATCAATAATTATAACAATGTAAATATCGACTACGTGGACTTTTTTGTGTGGAAAAAGAAAGAAAAATAACCATCCAACAACGAATGCGTACCTCTTCAACACCTGTATTCGCAGTGCGAATCAGAGCAAGACGTGCAGTGAAGTCGTCAAATCCAAGATCAAGCAGCTGCGCGTATAGTTCGTTGTTAATCTGGGAAATAAAATATTAACGACATCTCCGGTATAGTATTCATTCGTGATAAAATGTACTGATAGAATAGATATCATGGCACCGTTCATACTCTTAATTTTTGATTCGAGAAAGATTACTGAAAGAAAAATGAATTGTCAACCACGTCGTCAATACTTGTGTGATTTACTCCGAGAAACATAATTGTGCCAGCGACGCATCGCATATCTATGTACATAAACTCGAATTATGCGGAAGATATGCAGAACTGTTCTTCAACATAACCTCCCCCTCACTTCACCCTTATTTTGCAAGTCATGCCTTGATATGACTGAATGAGACCTTTAAACTCCATTTCAACATTTCCTTCGTTGCTGTTTCGACCACAAATTGTTTGGATCAGCAAGGAAGACATACTGCACCCTGAGCGACCATAGATACACGAACTTCTTTTAAACGTATGAGCACACATCACATCGAGCCCAACACTTAGGCCTTCCCTGTACTGGGCAGTATGTTCCTAGAAGCGGTCCTGAACATTCCAAGGTAACCACAATGGGAAAAGCACCTCCGCTAGCACTCAATTGTGATTAGAAGCTTATACAAAACCCTCATCTAGACCTAAAGTACAGCTGAAAATAGACAGAATACTATTAAAGAGTACCGGCCGACCAACGTAACACAGTGTCCGCAGACAAAATCAACACTAACCAATACAGAGATACGAAATGTGCCAATAGTACATTCTTTTCTATTGTAGAACTCGATTATCTCTCAGGAAATGTGATCAAGAACTGTGTTTATTGTTAATACAGGTATTACCGCAAAGAAGCCGGGAATTTCCATTTATGGACCATAAGAATGACTGCTTGAATCGCAACGCATTTCCGAGTAAAAAACAGCATAATGAAAATTGATTACTTGCGCGAGGAAAAAACCTATCCATTGTTGAACATACCGAAAAAGAGGCTTGCGGCTGAGCTTGAGGATCAATAGGATGGGGGAGGTCAAGGAACGCAACTGTTGCTTGTACTGAGGGGTACTTGTTGATTCGAAGAGGGAGGTGGAACAGGAACCTGCAACTGGATTTTGCAAACCAGCTTTACTAAAAAAAACATTTGATTTGACAAACCTCTGGTAATTCGCCTAATCCGAAAGGATCTGCAACTCCAACAAGCTGTACTGGATCAGGAAGGCTTGGAAGATTATCGACAGTGACCGACGAAGGAGTAGGAGAGCCTAAAAAAGAATGATGGCGTAATGTTGGAAACATCATTACACTTCATAAATGTGTTGCATCACGAATGATGGAGCCGTATTTCACCTGCCTCTGCAATCCGACATTCAAATCAGGAACATCGCTCCCCAAATCAACGTAAGAACTTTACGCGATCACTGTCTGATGAGGATGATTGAAGAAATTGTTGGATTATAAGAATAGATTCAGGTGGGGATTTATTACGCGCCCAGTACACATTGTGAAATATAGGACCTTCCCAACCCGATCTTTCACCTGTGAGCCGTAACATTCACACCCATATCTCAGGCTCGCACGACAAGGATCGTCACAAGCTGAATCCTGGATGTGTTTAAAAGTCAAAAAATATGAATTCTTCTAAAGAACAAGATGAGAACGACAGGTGAAGGGCGCAGCAAAGACTTTACAAGGGATTACGTTAAGTATGAAATGGAGTAATAATTTAGTGCCATCACCTTCCATCCAAAGTGAACACAAGATTTGAAATCTGATTGAAGCGATGATCGTTAGTTACGATGCTGGTTAGTGAAAGCCTCAATAGTGCATAGGTTTTTGTCAAATATCTCCTCACATAGCTTCAAGCTTCCATCATTTTAAAGCCTTCCCTTTATGATGTCTCATTCTCTTTTCGAAAGAAAACTCTCGGAAAGATGCTGTTTTCTGGGCCATACAAAGCTCTAGCAATGCTCGCACATGCTAAATTGCAGTGGATAGCATGAACATAGTGTTAACTTTGCTGCACTTTCAAATGCGAACTGAACGGAAGATTAATAGACATCCATGTTCGGTGCTAAGTGGGTTGGGGGACCACGCGGCGGCGCGGCAGTCTGCTCACCTGGGCTCTCTCGAGCGAGACAGTGTAAACTCGAACATTCCAGCTTTTCACGCATGTCAAGTGACTGCCCCACCCCCCCCCCCCTAGACTGCCTACACTCCCCCTGGCCCACGGATTTCCGAACATGCCAGGCGAGCAGACTGCCGCGCCGCCGCGTGCCCCCCCTCCAACCCAGTTAGCACCCCATATTCGACTCTAAGCGCGTGTTTACTGTATCATCCGCTTAATCCTAGGCATTTAGGACGATTTTCTTTTTTTAGAGTCTAACGCATATGATGTCAATACAAAAAGAGCGAAAAACTTGCAGTAATGGATAGCACATTGAAGAAAATGTATTGGCTGCACCAGCTGCAAATTGTCATTGGGGCGTGGAAATTGCACTGATGCAGGAAATATTCCACGGAATGTAAGCAAGACAATCGATCGATCGAATTGCTAAGAAACCCCATCGAATTAAATCCTAATAAATGCGTGCGAGTTTTGTGATCGCAAGCTTTCAACAAAAGAAAAGTAAAACGTAAATGAATGGATAAAATTCAGCAACACGAATTCGTGTCGGATTTCAGCCACTGCCAAGCCCTCGTTATATTGAAAGCAGGTATTGAAAGATAGAAGGAGGAACGAGAACTTGTTAGCATAATAAGACACACTACGAAAGCGTCTCTATCATGCTGATGTGCACTCTTGGTAATCAAAAATTGCAGATTTTCCCTACCTCAACAAGTATCTATTGTACCCTTAGTTCACAATGTTTCGTAGAGCATCACAAATAGCGTGATTTGTTGCAGTTGTGTAAATTCTAGAGCTCCTTAGATGGCGTGAAAAAGTCAAGTTTGACAACTTTCATGGGTACTCGGTGAGAGAGTAATGTTACAGGGTCAGGAATTGTTCCCTTTAGATTGAAATGAGTAAATTACACCTCTTCAAATCTGATTAACAAGTGCTCAACACATTGAATTACTCTTCATTTTTGGCCATGTTCATGAATACATAAATAGCGCTTGGACACTGTTTTTGAATGAG